AGACAGCATCACCTGTCAAAACTAAAATGAAGACCTAATCCTTCAAAGTCCACAGTTATGGGAAGGTCTCTAAATGAACTAACCTTGCTTTGGTTTCTATAGTTCTGGTTCTGGTTAACTGTTTTTGTTAACTGAAGTATGTCAACCCAGAACATGGGTTTTGTGCTTAAAAACTCACCCTGAGAAAGGCTTGGTGCTACACTGGGATTCTGAACACCCACTGTAGTCCTCGGCTAGCTAATAAAGACTTTCTATTGGCTTAAAGCCATGTTCCAGCAGTCTTCTCTGGTGGATACCCCACAACAAGGGCCATTTGTCCTCTATACTTGTGAGTGGGTGTAAAGAGGCTCAGGGGTTAGTAACCCATGCTCACTAGAAAGAAGTGTCAGTGCCTTTCTATCTTCTACACGTGTCGATGCTCTGGTCCCTCAAACCTTCTCTCCTTTACCTTCTACCAGACAGCACATGTGTGATACCCCAGTCACACTGGTTGTTTTCCATCAAGTTCAGCTCGCCCCAGACTTTTGACACTCGCTGTTTCCGCTTCTGGAGTACACACACTTCCCTGACCCAGGCTGGCTCCTTCCTTTCAGATCATAGGTTGCCTCCACTAGAGACTGTTTCTAACCCCTACGTGGAGACATGTGTCTTTCATCAGTCTCTTTCAAATGCTCTACGTTTGCACAGCTCTTTGGGCAATCTGAAAAGTTTTCACTTATGTACTTGTTTGCTTTCTGATCCTCACACTAGAATCCCTTCCCTGACACAGCCCCTGTGTCTTCTCATCACTACCCTCCCAATGCCAGTACCTCTGCCCAGCATGTGCTAGGAACTGAACAAGCAAGCTGGGCAATGGTGGCACATGCCTTTAATCCCAGCACTTGGGAGGCAGAGGCAGGAGGATCTCTGTGAGTTCAAGGCCAGCCTGGGCTACAGAGTGAGTCCCAGGAAAGGCACAAAGCTACACAGAGAAACCCTGTCTCGAAAAACAAAAACAAAACAAACAAAAAAAGCAGTTGAATAAGCACACCTGCCTAGTGAGGAAAGTGGCCCCACCCAATCAGCCAGTGAGCAGACTGTGAAGTGTGGAGGCGAAGCTCATCCCAAAGGCCCTACTCTTCCCAGCCCATTAGTTGCCTCCACTGTTGATGTTGAAGCCAGGAGGTTACAAAAGGGGGGCTCAGAATTAGAAACCTATAAATCTAGACTATAGGAGAACAAAATCAGCAAGGCGAGTGGAGGAGGACACACATCTGTTTCTGATTATTTCATATAAAATAAAATCTATGTCATAACATCTGCAGACATAGTTCACTTTGCCTAATCATTTCTTCTAAGTTTTGTATGGGAATTGATGGCTTTTTTCCCCCTTTCAGCAAAAATTCTGCTTTAAAAGCACTAGGGAATTTGTTGTTTAAACATAGCCCAAAGTAGATCCTTTGGCACAGCAAATAATCTTGGCTTTGTTTCAATTTATGTTTATAAGCTGACATTTCTGTACTATGGAGTTCTTTTTAATAGTATTCCCTAAATGAATCTAGTTTCATAGTTAACCGTGCTTATTGGATAGACCTTACTCTTGGCTTTTAGCGTCTAATTAGCGCTGACCATGTGAACACATCCTCAGATCTTCTAGATTAAGCAAACACTCAAGCTAAAACCTGGTGACACAAACCCCAAACATTGTCTTGCTAGGTCCTCTGCTCCTGGTGGTGTTTCTTATCCCCCTGCAAACTTGTGCTCTGTTTTGGTCATCTTTCTCATTGCTGTGGCCAGATGCCCAGCAAGATGTAGCTTATCCTTGATCATAGTTTGAAAGACGACAGTCCACCGTAGCAGGAAGGCACGGCAGTAGGAGCTCACTCACATTTGGGTGAATCAGGAAGCACAGGGAGATGAAGATGTGCAGGCCACATGTCCCTCTCCCCCTTTTGATTTAGTCATTTGTCTCTAGCCCAGGGAACAGTACCACCCATGTTCACTGTGCGTTTTCTATCGGTTAATCCTCTCTGGAACTCACCTCACAGATACACCCAGGAGTGTGCCTCAGTCATGCCCTATGCATTTTACATTAATACAATCAAGCTGCCAATCAACTAATTACCCTCTGCTCTTCTGCATCTAGTCCAACACTGATGGCTGTCCATTCTGTATTGGGACAATGGTCTCAGTATCCCATGGGACGTGGACCTAGGACATCTTGCTTCCCGAATTCCAGATCTATAAGGTAAGGTCTATGCAGATGGTGAAATCGACTGGTGACTGATCTATTGGATTCACTAGCCCCGCAGTGTTCCCACAGCACCAGACATAGCGACCGAGGTCAGTAAATGCACATTTACAGAGATGCCCTCTGCTTTCACCCGGAGACATGGCACAGATTAGGAGAGGACGCTTTGCCATCACAAACTTCGCTTTCTTTCTGTAGTTAGTGGGACTAGTCGGCCCCATTTACTGTAAAGCCTCCAATAAGGAAGGGCCTTTCTGGAACTTGGTTTCCTTCTTAGGGAAGAGAAGCAACAAACTGCTTTACAGCCTTCATGTTAGGCTTTGATGAAAAGGTGTGTGACTCAAAGTAGGTCCTCCGTGGAGGAAGGGTGTTCCTTCCTGTGTTCTCACCACTGGTCCTCCAAGACGTGGAGGCTGCGAACAAAGGCTCACTCACCCAGGCAGTACTCCCCAGAGCAGGTCCCCAAAGGAGCCCTTAAATGCAGATGCTGGGACTGGAGAGGTGGCTCAGCAGTTAAGAACCCCTGCTTCTCCTTCACGGAACCCAGGGTTGGTTTCCAACACCCGCATTGGAAAGCTCACAGCCACCTATGGTCCCAACTTCAGGGGATCAAATAACCTTTTCTTGGCTTCTATAGGTGACCACACGCATGTACTCACCTCCACCCACAGGAGGAGGCAAAACTGATATTTTTGTCCTGGCCCAGCCTCTGACTTGCAGTTTGGTGCCAACCAAGTCACTTGACCTCTCCAACACTCAGGGTTTCTGTTTTGTTTTAAAGTGAAGAGATTTTGACTAAATGATTGCTATGGTTTGGGTCTGGAATATCCTTCAAACTCTCCAGTGAAGGCAACCACAGAGCTCAGGGTGCAGGCTTGGCCTGCCTCCACCTCAGTTTTGCCCATGCTTGTTGGTAACTTACTCCCTCCTCAGCTCTGCTTTATTTGAAACCAGAGGTAGACAGAAAACTTGCATTGAACATTTTAGGTTTGTTTAAATAAAAAACAATAAAAACCAATTAAAAATTAAGAAATAGAAAATGGGAAATTTGGCTCATAGATATATAGAGAAAAAAATCTAAATTCAATTATTACTTGTTTTGAACTTTCTCTTACATTTTTGTTTGGTTGCGTGATTTATCTGGTAGTTATATAAGTTTTGTCTGTTTCTTTGGTCTTTTTAACCTAATAGCATCACACAATTTGACAGTTCACCTCATAGACTTTGCGACCATCATATGCAATGGTACAAATTTTGTCATTCCATTTGCTGGTGGATTTGTTTTTGACACCCGAAGAACTTAATTTTTAATTTATTTCATTTAAATATAAGGTGATATCATATCTTTCCTCATATGTGCATATGTGTGATGTAGGACAAGATAATATACTTTTCAGAGGACAGATTTCCACAAGCTGGCTTCCGGCGTCAAAGCATGCGCTCATCTTCGTCACTTTGGGGTCACGGGGCTGCACTGACAGTCCATGCCAATGGGCAAGTCCCCGTTTTTCTGCTTCTTAACCAGAATTGGCTATTACCATGTAAAATTTTTGGAGATTTCGTAAACAAAGCCGTGCCTAATCGTCTTAATTTACCTGTTATTGATTAACTGAGGAAGCCAATCACCTTCCATACTTTTGCTCTCATTTCTCGTCGAGAGGACTAGGTGATTTCTGAGACCCTTTGGACCCCAATCTGTAACACCGGAAGGTGTGTGGCCGGGAAGATTACAGAAATCAAATGAGAGACTATTTGGAGATGTAAATGGCACAGTTAAGAAAAAAAAAACTGCTGGATGAAGTCAGGAAGGGAAAACTAAGAATTATCTAAAGAACACATAAGGAGGGAGGCTATGGCTTAGTGGCAGCTTGCTTGCCTGGCACACTCAAGACCCTGGGTTCGAGTCCTAGTCTCTCCCTCTCTCCTCCACCTCTCCCCTCCCCTCCCACATGCTTTGCTTCCTCATCAGTGATCACAAACAACAAAGACGGTGTAGAGCAACGCTAAGGACCTAGCATGGGCCAAGGCCCTGAGTGGAATCGCTGCTATTAGGAGAGGGAGGGGTGGAGAGAGACAGAAAGACACGTGAAAACGGACAGAGACACGTGAAAAGAAGAGAGACACAGAGAATGCAAATGGAAGCTCATTCATGAAATACCTGCTAGAATCATGTGAATTCTTGTTAACACCCGGGGGACCCTGTTTTAAGGCTTATTTTAGGAATAAAGAGGATATGGGGGTCTGGAAAGATGCCTCAGTCAGGAAAGTGTTTTCCACACAAGCATGAGGACCTAAGTTTGGGACCCTAACACCCACATAAAAGCAGGGCATGGTGGTACGTGGTGGTACAACCCCAACACGGGAGTTGAGGGAAGACAGAGGCAGGCAGATCCCTAGAACTTGTCAGCTACTAGGCTATCCAAATCAGTGAGCTCCAGGTTCAGTGAGATACTCTATATCCAAAAGATAGGGAGAGAGATTGAGGAAGACATCTGATGGATCTCTGGCCTCCACATGCATGCAAACACACATGCACCCACATACTCACATGGACATACACATGATAAGGAGTCGTTTCTGTGTCTAGTTAGTGTGTTTAAGGCACTATAGTTGGTCTCCAAGTCACTACATCTCATTGCGCATTAGAATAGCACAGTTAGCCATCAACTAACTCTCATCAAGAAGTCAGTAAAATACTGGAATGGTTTAAAAAGAAAGAAAAGAAATGACAGACCACGTGGAAGCTTCACCTTCCTTTTGAGGCACTCACCTCAGTTTTTCCCACATCTCTTCACCGAATTTCTCTGTCACGAGAGACTGCAGACAGGTGTTGATGAATCCATACTAGAACGCAAAAGAAGGGGAGAACGAATTTGGAGAACGAAGCATGATGCCCTAGACCCAGCCTTCCTGTGGGTGTCTTTGGAGGTGTGCATCCTCGGGAGCTGATGGTGGCTTTTCCGGGGTTTTCTGGTCACTGAGTAGCTGTCACCCTTTCCTGGTGGAGGAAAAGCTGAGCAGCCAGAGGCTGGTGGTGTGCAGACAGGGATCCTGTGAGCTGGAGTTCCAATCATACCATCCTCAGAAGGGGCTTCCTGCTCCTTGGGACCCCACTTTGAATAGGCAGTTGCTGGATGGATGAAGGGTTTGAAGGCATTACATTGGACACTGGGAGACTGAGGGTACACACTTTGTGTCAGGTCCAAAAAGGTAGTGAAAGGACACATTGTTTTGTCTTTATAAAAATAAATCTAGGTCTGGGTGTGTGTGCAGGAAGTAAAGAGTGGAGAAAAGAAGGAACCAACAGTACAGATTGAGAAAGATGAGCTGGGGTGTGGCTCAGTGGTCGAGCATTTGCCTGGTAGTGCAAAAGCCTGGGTTCCCTCTCTAGCATGAAGAAAAAGAGGAGGAGGAGGGGGGGGGAGGAGGAGGAGGGGGAGGAGGAGGAGGAGGAAGAGAGAAAAGAAAAAGATAATACTGGAAGGTGAAGCAGATTCCACCCTACTATCCACTCCCTAAAAGCTAGCATCAGGGAAATAGGGAGATCTTTCCTATGGGTTCCCTCATTCATCTGTTCCCTTTTCTGCTCCAACAGAACCAGAAGGGCCTCTAAGAGTCATTAGTGCCCTGCATGGACCATACAGGTCACCCAACCTGCCTCAGCTCCTGGGCTCCTGCCTCAGGGCTGGATCCTATTGGAAAGCACCAATGAACTGAGTTCTAGAAGGTTCTTCCTAAAGCAAAGGACCCTTTTGTTCATCAGTGCCTGGCCAGAAGTTGATTATATATGTCTGGATTGTCACAGAGCTTCTTTTCTTTCTTGTTTCAGGTTGTTGAGACAGGGTCTCCTGTAATCCAGGCTGGGCTCAAAATCTATGTGGGCAAGGATGGCCTTGGATTCCAGTTCTCCTGCCTTCATTTCCCAAGTGTTGGAATTACAGGTATGTACCAGCAGGGTCCTCACCATAGGTGTGTCTGTCTGTCTGTCTGTCTGTGTGCCTCTGTGTGCCTCTCTGTGTCTGTGTGTGCCTCTGTGTGCCTCTCTGTGTCTGTCTGTCTGTCTGTCTGTCTGTCTGTCTGTCTGTCTCTCTCTCTCTCTCTCTCTCTCTCTGTGTGTGTGTGTGTGTGTGTGCGTGCGCGCGCATGGAGACCAGAGGTCAAAGTTGCACAGTATGGAGTTTTCCTCAATCACTTCAGACAAAGGGCTCCCACTGAACTTGGAGCTCACTGATTGGCTGGACTAGCTGGCTGGCAAGCTCTAGAGATTGTCCGGCCCCCACCTCCAAGTGCTAGAATTACAGGTAACACCCTCTCCCAACCCATACACACCAGATTTTTACACAGTACTAGAGATCTGAACTCAGGACCTTATGCTTTGTATAGCCTGCAGTTTGTCAATGGAACCAGCTTCCCAGCCCCATGACAGAGGTTTTAAAGAGAAAGGACCCAGGGCAGCAGCACAGAGGGGGTCACTAGCATAGTTCTACCCTGGAAATGCCTCTGTCCTGTTATAGTTCCAGCTCCCACAACAGCGTCATAGTCACCCCTCCCCCAGACCCAAGATGTCTCCTCCTCACCCTAGCCTGGCACCAATGCACTCATTCGGTATTGTGTCCACTCCTCCAACCTTGGCTCATCCCAGTGCCTGCTACCATTCCCCAGCTCAGCAGGCTCCTTCCCTTGCTAAATCATAAGCTCCATAGATGAAGGTGCATGAGTCATTTACCTATATTTTGATTAAAGTACCAAGATAGAACCTGGCACACAGCAGGTGTTTAATAAACACACTAAATGTATAAATACCCAACTGAAACCTCCAGTCTGAACTTGAGGAAATCTGTAAATATTCCCAGGTGTTTCTAATCAATCCAGGTTAACAAAGCTTATAATTATTTGCCTCATTGATCTTTACAAAAGAATGTGAGATCAAATGAGAGCATCATGTCCATTATCTTCACCCCAATGACCATGGACACCTACCAGTGTACAGGAAGGGAAACTGAGGCTCAGGGGAGTCTGATAGTTGCTGGATTGCATGTAGCCTTATCATCTTTTCTGGGTTTCAACCACTTGGATGGTAAACCTTGGATTTGGTCAGTTAGACAAGTGGCCCAGCTTTTTATCTTTGGTGTTCATCGGTGTTTGGGATGGATATAGCTAATCCCTGGGGCCCCCAAATCCATAGGTCACAGAGAATCCCACACAGCATCTAAAGATTAATACCATGCTCTCAACCCCAGTGGGGTTTCAGGGCTGAGTGCTGACCTCACAGGCACAAAACCTGAATTCGAGCTCAGCACCACACACGTCTTTGAAAAGAGAAAAGATGAGAGGAGACGTATGTTCTTCTCCTTCACTGCTGACAGATGTCACCACTGGGAAAAGCAGAGAACCGACAGGCTGGTGCGCAGTGTGCTGGAGTTTCCGGAGCTCCTGCTCCCCAGTCTGCAGAGGATTCTCAGAAGACACCTCCATCATCCCGTCACAGATCACTCAAGGACTTCGTAGAAGTGGGCAAGCGTCACAGCCAGCCCTAGATTTCTCTGGCACTCTGATGCCAACACTGCTCTCTAGCCAGAGGACAAGCCAGCAGGGACTCTCACTGGCCAGGGCCATCCCAGCCTTTCAGAGGAAACTTGGGTCCTACCTGAGGCACCCTTGAGAAAGGCTCGTGTTTGAAAGGAGTGTTGAAGTGTCTGAAAGTGGTGAGGGCTAGCTCAATCCTTCTCCCAGTGTCTGTGCCTGCCATCTGTTGACTGGGGTACACACTCCATCCTGTAATACAGCCTTAGTGAGGCCGGGAGATGGGGGCATTTAGAAGGAAAGGCTTGGGCTCTAGAGCCATGCAGGGTTCTGTCTGTGCTTTAGAGCTGTGTGTTTGGGGGTGAATTGTCTAACTTCTATGAACCCAGTCTTCTCCATGAGCCACACTGGAAATGATAGGAGCTGGGAGATGATAGCACCCGGGGATCATTGTTAAGTTATAGCTGAATGGTTCTGGAGGCTACTCAAGAAGGCGCTGTTTGACATTGGCCCTTCCTGCAATCTCACAATGGGCATCAGAGCGGTCCTTCCTCCTGAAGCTGAATGACATGATGGATAGAAGCACATGGTGACTCTGAGTGCCAAGAGCCATGCTCCCCAGAGACTGTGCACTGAAGGGCTCGGGATGGAGCAGTCTGTAGAGCACTTGCCTAGCATGCCTGAGAGCTGTGGGTTTGACCTTCAACCCCACAGAAACTGGGCATGATGGTCCAAACCTGCCATCCCAGCACTCTGGAGGTGGAAGGAGAGGCTAGAAGTTCAAGGACATCCATGGGCACATACTGAGTGCATCGAGCCTGGGCTACAGAAGATTCTGTCTCACACGTAAGTAATTTACCTTTGAAATCTAAAATGTGCTCTAGTATACAGTAGCTGCTTTTGCAAAACCAGCAGTTTCTTAATGAGATATCAACATGATTTTTCTAGCTCTATATTGATACAAAATCAATAATCATTTCTTCTACTTACCTATAAAACCAAGTCAATACAAACAGTGACTGGGGATGTAGCTCCATGGATAGTGTGCTTGTCCAGCATGAACAAAGCCCTGGGTTCAGTCCCCACTATTGTGTAAACCAGCAAGATGGTGCACATCTACAGTCTTAGCACTTGGAAAGTAGAGTCAGGAGGTTCAAAAGTTTAAGGTTATCTTCAGCTACACAATGAGTTCAAGACCAGCTTGGGCTGTAAGAGATCCTGTCTCAAACAAACAAACAAAATATTGGCAGGGTTTCATGTCTGGAATAAGTGATACAAGATGTGGCCATTTTATTCAAGAACTTCCTCTCTTTAAGAATATTTTTAGCAGGGCATGGTGGCGCACACCTTTGATCCCAGCACTCAGGAAGCTGGTGAATTTCTGGGAGTTCAAGGCTAGCCTGGTCTACAAAGTGAGTTCCAGGACAGCCAGGACTGTTACACAGAGAAACCCTCTCAAAAAACAACAACAACAACAAAAAGTTTTACTTTTTGTCCCAGGGCTGAGAGGAGAAAGTAGACACAAGCTCCCATCCCTAACCAAGAAGGTATCTCTAATCAACAACCATTTGCAAAAGAAAAACCCACTTTCTCTATTGGAGTACTCTTGGATATATTAACCACAATTAAGGGCAGGCCCATGCCTAGCAGTAGATGGCCAACACAAAACAAACTCAATGGTGTTTTTTTCCCCCATATTGCTTTGTTTGGACATTTTTAACCTTTCTTCTCTTTCATTTATATATTACAGTTCCTAATTTTGTGTTTTATATGTTTTGAGTGTGTGTGTGTGTGTGTGTGTGTGTTTCTGGTGATTTTCTTTTTCTTTTGTTATGTTTGTTTTATTTGCCTGTTTGTTTTCTAAAGTGAGTGAGAGAGAAAGAGAGAGAGAGAGAGAGAGAGAGAGAGAGAGAGAGAGAGAGAGAGTAGAATTGGATGGGCAGGGAGGTGGGAAGGATCTGGGAAGAGAAGAGGGAGGGGAAACCATGATCAGAATATATTGTATGAATTTTCAGTTTAAAGAAACACTTTATTTTTTATTTGTATTCTTGAGACAGAATTTCTTATAGTATTCCAGGGTAGCCTTGAACTCACCATGTTGCCAAGGCTGATCTTGAACTTCCAAACCTTCCACCTACCTTCTGAGTGATTCTGTTAGAGGTATGGGCCTTCTTTATGGGGTGCTGAGAATCAAAACTGGGGATTTGTGTGTGCTAGGCCAGCCCTGTATGGAGCTGCATTCCAGCTCTGGCACCCTTATTTCAATATAGGAGCGTTTTTAAAAGGTTTTCAATAAAAATCAGATAATTATACTTAAGAATAAAGCTTTAAGAGGAGAAACTTTAAAGTCGTGTTAGCAGTGAGGCAGTGTGTAGTGGGTAGCCATTCCAGCTTTGATCTGGAAGTTCCAACCCCCATTGAGGCTTCGGTAACAGTCACGCCTACAAGGTGGGCCGAGAGAGGACCCTGATAACCCGAGATCCGGATGCGCTGGCTCTCTTGGTTCCTGGACCCTGGACGCTGGAGGCAAACCGAGCAGAGTTCTCCAGAGAACTCTGTGGCTGTGCTACACCTTTCCCAGACCCTGTTACCTATCCCTTCACTTGTAAGTTACCCCACAAAATAAACCTCCCTTTTAACTACGTGGAGTGGCCTTAATAATTTCACCAAAATCAGTGACTCATTTAGAAGAGAACATTCTTGTTTACCTACTGCTGACCCTGATGTCAACCCACCAATTCTTGATTTTTTTTTAATATATTACATGTCACACACACGTATACACACGTGTACATATCTTGTTGCATTCTAAACAAGTCACGGGATTTTAAACTTTCAGAAGGGTTGTGGGGATGCCCGTGCTCCTGGGAGCCCCATCCAACTTCACTTGTTGATGGCTTCCTTAACTGAAGCATCTCGCAGCATGAAGGAGTTCCTCTCCTACAGTGCAGTGTCAGCTAAGGTGGGGAGCTGAAAGCCGACCTCAGGGTGGTTTTGTGTGTTTGCTCTGCTAACATCCTCTTAGCTCTCCGGAACCCCATCTGTGCCGGTCTATCATAAGGATGGCTGAGGCGTTTCACACTGAACACTGTGCTGAGGCAGTGTCTGCCAGGATTCTCTACTTTAAGCCCTACCATACTTACCTCAGCATTTACTAAATGTTTGCTAAAGGTCATTTGAAATTATGCAAACATCCCCATTTCTGCTGAAAACCTACCCTTCATCCTCCTAGCTCCTGGCCGATGCTGCTTGGGGCAGCTACTACAGTGAGATCCCTCCTGCTCACTTCAGGATTCTTCTGGAAGGAAGAATTACAGCTCTAAATTGACTTTTTTTTTTTAAAGTTATAACAAGATATCCAGGCTAGGTGGACACACAGAACCTGAAGATGCAAAGTGATACCATGACCACACACAGTGCCAAAGAAAAAAGCCAAGCAGATAGCTTGACCTTGAAAAGTAATAGACTTAGGAAGGTAAATAGTGTTTCTATGATTCATGAAGCTTGCCTGACTTTTAACTTGATAGGCACTGGAAACTGCAATTAGTTTTCTTTTGAAATTCCACACCTAGACTTTCAAAAACTATCTAGAGTCGTATTGCTTTGGTGATCGTTTCTGTCAAAATCTTGAGTAAAGTTACCCACACCTGGTGCCAGGGAGGCTTTGTCCCAGCAGAATAGATGCCACTGGCAGCTGCTTACCATGATGTCCAGCGAGGTGTCTCCAGGTCCGGGCTGCGTACACCCGGTGTCCCAGCTGGCTTACTGAGTCTCTGGAAGATGTCTTGAAACAGACCAGCTCTTCCACAATGAAGTTGGGAACTAACCAAACCTCCTGCTGAACCCTGCCTAGGGAGGAAAAGGCCGGGCTGACTCTGTTGGGAGCGGGTGGGACTTGGCACCTGGCACCCCAGGGGGTGCACATCTCCAATGCTAAGCTCTCAGGACTTGAGTGTGAAGCCCGAGGCATCCCCCGGAGGTGTCAACACAACAGCCGTGTGCCATGCTCTCCCCGTGGAGGCTGTAGCCCACACGGCAGAGACCAGCAGAACTCCAGGAGGCTGACTGTACTGCCTTGCCACCTGTGCGTGGCAAGTTGGGGGACTTGAAGGAAAAAAGTGTCCCAGCCCCGCCAGACCCTCAGGACTATGGTGACTGGTGACTCTTCCTACCGATTTTGCTGTGTATGACCTTCCCTCCCCAGAAGGTCTCTGGTGTTTATTTTTTGGTTTTGTTTGTTTGTTTTGTTTTGTTTGCTTGCTTGCTTGCTTGCTTGCTTGCTTTCTCTTGAGACAGGATCTTTATGTAGCCCCGGCTGTCCTGGAACTCACTATGTTGACCAGACTGGCCTTGGAGTCACAGAGATCCTCCTGTCTCTGGCTCCAGAGTCCTGGGATTAAAGGCATGCCTGGTTCATTCTGAGAAACAGATACCGAAATTCCTGCCTGCTGTTTGACAAACCCGCTTTCCACACAGCATGTCTGAGGCCTGAGGAGGCCAGGGACTGGGGCAGCAGTACTGTTTCTGGAAGCCAATCACAAGTGTATTCCCAGAATCCTGAACTTGGCTTCAAAGAGACCCCCTGCATCCCTCAGGAAGGCTGCCTCTTACAGGAGATTGTCTCCTGGGAGGCCTCTAATTAACCCCCTTCGGATGACATCCAAGAAATGCCTGCCTCGACCAGCACTTGACCCTGTGATGCTCTCAATGTGGATTCTGCTGGGGCCTGGAAACTCCATTCTCCCGCTGAATCACAGCAATGCTGAGGCCCAGGTAAGCTGTTGCCTGAAGTCTACTGCCTGAGCATTTCTTGGGGTCACAGATGAGAAACGCAGCCACTAACCAGATTCCGTGAGTGTCACCTGAGGCTGTTCTGGCGGACCTGGCCGCTGTGGTGCAAACACAAGAGGCTGAATAAATAAGCTCGATAAACTGAAGGAGGAGGCCGTGGACCCTCCTGACACAGAGTGTGGAGGTCCACGGCGGCCACTGAAATGTGACTCATGGTTGACACAAGACCTTGACCATGAGGAGACTGAGATGGTTCAAGGACATCTGTCCAGACAGACCAGGTGCTCTCCTGAAGTCCCCTGGCCATCGGTCCCAGGAGCTCTAGCTTGGCAAAAGGGCACCCCTCACATTCTCCTTTCTGGAACCCTCTCCCACCCAGCCGCAGCTTCCCTGAGAAAGCTTTCCCGGTGTCTCCATCATTGGCTTTCTCCAGCTCCTGGCTCCCCCCTCTTCACTCACTCCATCTACCCTATGGAGAGGCCAGACCCTCAGAGACACCAGGATTGAGTGAAGCCCCTCTTCACTCCAAAACAGTGATGGTGCATGTTTGCAAAAGCCAGAGGACCCTGTGCTGGTCCTATGTGGAGGGGACATGTGGTCATGAGAAACAGCCTCCAGAATAGATGATTTCCATAATTACGCTACCCTTCCCACCACATTCAGCTGACAGCTCTTTTGGCTCTACCAAATGGGCTTGCTCTGGCTCCCCCTTACAGCTCAAAACCCCCACTCTGTTTTTTCAAACACATACAAACGCTCACGCTTCACAATAAGTAAATGGTTAAAAAAAAAAAAAAAACCCACAACAACTCCCCCTTTCTTTTTTTTCACGAAGCAGATGGTAGGTCTCAGGAACTTGGTGGAAATTAGGCTTTCTGATTTTCTAATAAATTTTAGCATCTCACACAAAAAGCACAAGCTCATTTTCATTCTGATGTTAAGTACCATATGGCCCATCATCCATGGAACGTGGCAGCTTCATAACCAGAGTGATGTGGAAGGGAGGAGCTTCCCTACGAGGCCAGTGTGTATGAACCAATTGGATTCCAGGGTGAATACCATTTGATAATAATATTGTATATGGCAGAGGACTAATTATCCCTCTTTTATGGTATGTGATAATTTTCTCTGCCAGTTTCCCTAATTACGACTGTCACCCAAAGGACGACTCTTTGTAAATACTCTGTAAACATCTGAAAAGACACAGACCGTGTGTGCATGAAGAAAGCCGTCCCTGGGTTTCAAAGCTGTCTGGAAGATTAGCTGACATTTCATATGTTTTTCAGTTGTATAAGCAGCCAAGAAGGACTTGTGACTGTATGGAAAGACCCCTTCCTTTCCCATGACATCATGGGCTTTCCTGTATACTCTGGGACCACTGTTTTGAGGGACATTTTTTTATGGCTGTCTTTGTTGCTCTAAAGTGAACAGTCCCATGAATTCTGGCAAATGTATATGCTGGCCTCACTCAAACCCCAATATAGACAGCATGTCTCTATTATCAAGCAGGTTCCCTTGGTGCCCCTTCTCTGCCAGCTGGCCCCCAGCTTCCACTGTTCTCTTCCCTGAACCTGGAGATAGTTTTGCTTGCTCTCAAACCCCACACACGTCAGGTCGTACAGCACGCCTTCCGCTGTGTCTGCCGTTTTAACTTTTAGCTCATCTCCAGTACACTCAGTCCAGACATCGTCCTCCCAGTTAGGCAGACATTCGTAAACACAGCTTCGTCCGCTGCACTTCTGATACGCTGTATGCTGACCCAGCACAACAATTGTAGTGTCCTGTGCAATAGGAAACAAACTTTCATTGTATGCAGGACAGTAAGGAAAGGCAAGATGCCACACACTTAAGTAAGCTTTAGCTATTGTTTAAGGACATGAATGAGAGAGATGTCGAAGGGGCAAGCATCAGCCCAGAAACCCCACCCTTACGTGGTTTTGTTGAGTGCTTCGCATTTGCATCTGTGTAGCATTGTGTGATGCTTGGCTTCCTCCCCTGGTGTGCCTAACACCTCAAGCTGGCTCCAGTAGGGATGACCAGGCTGGAGGTACAGCTGGAGTTAAAGCCAGAATTTCGAGCCGGGCACCATGGGACTGGCTGGCGGCCCTAGCTAGTTGGGAAGCTGAGGTGGGAGATTGTTCCACAATAGACTGGGAAACAGAACCAGAGCCTGTCTCAAAACCAAAAGATATGTCAGAAGAGGGTGTTGTGGTTGGGGCTTGTTATCTCACCAGCAGGATGGCTGAGGCAGGAGGATGAGGAGCTCAAGTCAGGAAGATCCCGTCTCAAAAACAAACAAATGAGTAAGAACCAATACTCCAGACCGAAGGCTCCAGATTTCTTTCAGTTTTTTTTTTTTTTTTTCCCCATAGTTATTAATTCAGCATGCAGAAGCCAGGGAACCCACGCCGGCAGACCAAGCAGTCCGATTCCCTAAATGCCCACAGCCACCGGGTGCTTTAGACTGGTCACAGCAGCTGTGGAAACCAGCCTTTAATTTTTTACCACACCCCGCCCATCACCTGGCCCAGCCCACTCCGCTGGATTTAGGATAAATCACACGAAACTGCCAGTTTTGCACCAATGGATATGAGCAATGTCCTGAGGTTCTGCGTCATTTCCTTTCCTCCTCACTATGACCCTGTAAAGTTGGTCCTCTTGCCGTTAACACACACACCCCGAAAGATAAAAACAGAGGTACAGAAAACAAAAAAAGAGAGAGACTTTCTTGAGGCTCCCACATTGGCAGGGGTCAGAGCTGGAACTGACCCCTCTCTTCTTCAGTAAAAACTTAGGGAGTCGGATGATATCCCTTCTCTAGCAAAGTCCACCATCGGGTCTTACTCGTCTGTTTTCCCTCATCTAGCACAAGGGAAGATGGAGATTCGATTTGCTTGTGGTCTAAGGTTTGGGTTTCAGCACCTAGCCCTTTCATTTCACATCAGAACCTTCGCTTGGGACCCAGGAAACCAGCGAGAACATAGACATTTTCCACAGAGAGGCCACCCACTCACGAATCCAGATCGCCTCCCTGCGGACGCGCACCTACTCGACCCAGATCTCGCTTCCTCTCTTCAGTTTGCATTTTAAATTTTCAGCCATCGAGAACCGGGAATTGTTAGGCTCGGAGCGCCACCGTGTGGCCAAAGTCGTGCATACCGGCAGATCCCTGGTAGGAATGAGGGGGTGTGAGGAAACTCATCCTTGATCACCAACATAAATGGAGTGCACCAACATAAATAAGTGCAGTGTTACATACGGAAACAGGCAAGGGTGGTGGTGATAAATTTGAACGTACTATGACATGCAAGGGTTCATTTAGGACCAAATTCAGCCTCCTTCGAGTTCAATTGAGCCTGACTCACTTGATAGAGTAAAAGCCACCTGTAAATCGGATGACCTGACTGTCATATTGCAAACAGCTGGCTGTCACTTAAATGCAGATGCTTTGAAAGCCTGGAAAATGTTAGGTGCAATACTGACCGTGCCCACTGTGCCCCAGCCGCTGCTGTGAAGACACAGGTACCATCCAGGCCTGATTCTGCATCAGGAGCGGGAACCCCAGGGCAGTCATCTGCAGACATCTGGGGGTGGTCACAGAGCCATGACTTTGGAGAACCCACCTCTCACTACAGGTTGGTACACCTGAAAGTGGTTTTCTTAGTTTATTCTTCCTCCAGAGATGCTTACAACATTCTTAGAAGTTTTCTTTCACTATTGCTTAAGTGTGTGGCAAAATCAATATCCTAGGTAATAATTAATACTCCATCATAACCAGTTAATGATGCATATAGGCCTTGCACTTTGACAGGTAATAATCATTTAATTATCACCTTAACACTATAAGTTAGAAGCATTAGGACCGTGCATGTGAGATGCCCTGTCACCCAAGCACCATTACAGCAGAGGAGTCTGAGTGCAGCCTGGGATGT